TGGGTAACAAGAGCGAAACTCTGTCTCAAAAAAAAAAAAAAAAAAAAAAGATAATCCTTTCTAAAGAGGTTGAACTAGAGTTTAATATACCTGGCAAAGGCAAAGAGATATTGTGACAGGGATGTCACAGAGGGATTATTTAAAAGCCTACTTTCCAATTGGGGAGACCTTTCCCAACACCCAGAACATCAGGTAGCCCTTTTAGTCTCATGCAGGAGACTAGAAGGTTTCCCTAAAGGAAAAACAAAAACAAAACAGCAAACAAAAGCAACTTAAAAACCCTGAAGTAGCCAAGAGAAAAGAACTTCAGATGATGTCATCTGGGAGACCCGTTAGAAAACAGCTAGATCCCTAAAAGAAACCTATTGTCACTAACAGCAGCAACATTCTCAGTATTTTTAATGCCTCATACTAAATACAAACAGACAGCTAAGAATCACCAAATATTCAAAGAAAACCTCTATCTTTAAATTTGAAGCCCAAGACAAACACAACAAAGAAACTTGGAGAAAAAGACACAAAAGCAAAAGAAAACAAATCGCTAGCAATAAAAAACCTTAAAGAATAGGCTATCTTTAGAGAGGCAGAGCATTCAAAGAACAAAAAAGAGCCCTTGGAAATTAAAAACATGATATCCAAATATTTAAAAGAAAAACGCAACAAGAGGGTTGGGAGACAGATTTGAGAAGCTCTCCTCAGAAAGTATAACAAAAACACAAAGAGATGGGTAACAGGTGAGAAAAATACAGCTGCAGTCAAGAAGGTCCACCATAAAAATAAAAACTCCAAAATGAGAAAATGAAAAATAAATTATCTAAGAAACAACAAAAGAAAACATTCCAGAATTCGAGGTACAGACTTCTAGACAGAAATGACTCACCTAGTAACAAGTTCAATGAGAAGGGAAAGGGGAAGAGAGCAGGGGAAGCATGAGCATAGATTAAAAAAAAAAAAAAATTTTTTTTTTTTTTTTTTGAGATGGAGTTTCACTCTTTCACCCAGGCTGGAGTATAGTGGTGCGATAGCTCACTGCAACCTCCACCTTCTGGTTTCAAACAATTCTCCTGCCTCAGCCTCCTGAGTAGCTGGAATTACAGACACCTGGCTAATTTTTGTATTTTTAGTAGAGAAAGGGATTCACCATGTTGGCCAGGCTGGTCTTGAACTCCTGACCTCCGGTGATCCGCCCGCCTCGGCCTCCCAAAGGGCTGGGATTACAGGCGTGAGCCACTGCACCCAGCTGATTTAAAAAAATCTTAAAACATTAGCACATCAAATCCAATAAATAAAAAGAATAATGTATCGTGTTAAATTTTATTTATTCCAGCAAACTGGGAAGAGAAGGTAAATTCCTTAATTTGACAATAATCATCTACAGAAAAGCCTTAGCAAAGAATATCTAATCACAAAGTATTGAATGCTTCTCCAAGATCAAGGGTAAAACGACTAAAAAGGAAGCAGAAGGGGAAGGAGAAGGGGAAAGGAACAGAAAGAAAAGACAGGGGAAGTGGAGGGAGGAGGGGAGTGGAGAAGAAAAAAGGAAAGAAGGGAGGAATCAAACAAAGGCACATGATCAAATTGGGGAGGGGAGAGGAGAAGAAAAAAGGAAAGAAGGGAGGAATCAAAGGCACATGATCAAATTCTACGGCATTGGGGGGAAAGAGCATGTTAACAGCTTCCGGAAGAAAAAGGAAAGGATAGCATACAAAGACTGGAATTACAGTCACATCAAACTTGACAATGACACAAGATGCTCAAAGACAATGTAGTTCTATTTTCAAAATTCTGAGAGAAAATAGCTACAAAACATGAAAACAAATTAATCAAGCAAGTATGAGGATGAAAAAAAAAATTCAAACAAGATCAAGAATTTTAACTTTTTATGAGCCCCCTTTCAAGAAGCTACTAAAAATGGCCTCTATTAAGAAAAGAGAGTTAACCAGAAAAAACGGAGTCCAGGAAATAGAGGGTTCAGCACCAAGGAGAATGGCTAAGTATACACCCACGCTAAGGGAGAAATGAAGTCAGCCTAGAAATCAAGCAAATCCAGACTGGAGCAAGATGATGAAGAAATCTCAGAGATATGCTTTTAATTTCGAAGACAAATGAATGGATTGCTTGATGCATCTGCATTTACTGAAACAATTATTTATATTACACAAGTATTAACTGCAGAGAGAAAAAAAGTTTTAGAAGGAAATATACCTAATAGTAATATGTTCACAGCCATAAATAATAAGTAATTAAGTCTGAACTTAAAAAATCATGGCACTAGTTCAGGTGGGTCCTTTGTATTTGCAAACTTGTACCTTGAATTCTGGAAAGTTCATAACTATGCTGGGAGGATGGAAGGAAAATTCACATGTGTATTTTGGGGACATATGGTTTAAAATAGCAAAATCTTAATCTTCCAAAGGAAGTCAGTGTTTAATGTCTAAAACTGAAAAATCAAGAAATAGCATTTTTAAGCAAGTTTATTTTAAAATAAGTGAAAGTAAATGTGAATGATTCTAATCATGGGAACTGAGAGAAGCGAAGAGTAGGGCAGTAGACTTGTTTTTTGTTACGAGCCAGGTAGAACAATTTAATATCCATAATATTTACATGTATTACTTTAATGAAAATTAAAATCAATTTTAAACAATAAAAAAGAATGATTTTTAAGATTAGTTGGTGGTAATGAAAGGATGGTCTGAGGTAGACAACCGGATAGAAAGGGAAGTCAATAATGTCACTGCAGGACCCCAGCCATGGTAAGGACCTGATCTACTTTGCTGCTGGTAAAAAAATAAGTAAGCTACTGGAACCAACAAGGAAAAGACATGCTTATTTATTCAACAAACTAAGCTGGATGCAATTCACTATAAAAGGCTATGTGGGTGGCTACAAATAGAAAATAGAAAAAAGTGTCAGGATAAAAGCATAAATGTATAAGAAAACATATATATATTTTATTATATATATATATGTCCATAAATATATAAGAAAAAAAAATCAACTTGACAGTAACCTTTTTCAGAGAATAGAAAAAGAGGGGCCAGGCACAGTGGCTCAGGCCTGTAATTCCTGCACTTTGAAAGGCCGAGGCAGGTGGATCACCTGAGGTCAGGAGTTCCGGACCAGCCTGACCAAAATGGAGAAACCCTGTCTCTACTAAAAATACAAAAAATTAGCCGGGCATGGTGGCGCATGTCTGTAATCTTAGCTACTCATGAGGCTGAGGCAGGAGACTCGCTTGAACCTGGGAGGCAGAGGTTCAAGCCAAGATCAAGTGGTAAGCCAAGATCGTGCCATTGTACTCCAGCCTGGGCAGCAAGAGTGAAATTCCATCTCAAAAAAAAAGAGAAAGAAAAAAAAGGAAACATTTCTTTTTATGTGGCCAACATAGCCTTGATGGCAAACACCAAATACATGATAAGAAAGGAAAATTATAAGATATTCCTTCTCATGAGCACAGATTAAAAAAAAAAAAAATCTTCAAACATTAGCACATCAAATCCAGCAATAAATAAGAAGGATAATATATCATGCTAGATTTTATTTATCCGAGTATACTGGGGAAAGTACGTAAATACCTTAATTTGACAAAGGTTATTTACAGAAAAATCTTAGCAAAGAACACTCAGTCACAAAGTACTGAATACTTCTCCAAGACCAAGAAAAAAACAAAAGTAAGGATTCTATTATCATCCTATTCAACACTGTATTTGGGTGCCCCAGCCAGTATAATAAGGCAAAAAAGAGAAAAGGACTAGAAATAAAAAAACACAACTCTCATTATTTGTAGAAACATGATTCTGTAACATAAAAAAGTCCTAAAGATAAGTACACTTAGCAAGGTCCTGTGGTACAAGCTCAATATTCTAGAAGGAGGAAAAAAGAAACTATTTCCATATTCCACGCACAATTGGAAAATAAAATATTAGAAGTTTAGAATATTCTTTACCACTAGCATTTAAAAGCACCAAATACCAAGGAATAATAACTCTAATGAAAGACAGGCAAGACCTCTGCTAAAAACTATAAAACATTAAGAGAAATTAAAGATCTAAATAAACAGGGAGATTTACCATGTTCATGGTTTAGAAGATTAATGTTATAAAGATAATAATTCTCTCTAAACTATCAATTAAATGCAAACCAAATGAACATCTTAGTATGTGTTTTTTAGGAAGGGGAAACTCACGAGATGATTCTACAATGTATATGGAAACTAAAGGGTTTAACAATAGCCCAGGTAATCCTGAAAAAACACTAAAGACATAGATGAATCTATTACAGTTATAATAATTAAGACAGTATAATATCATATGAGTAAAGGCAAAGTGACCAAGGAAACATCAGAGTCTAGAAACAAACTCATGCAAATACAGTCACCTAATTTATGACCAAGGTGATATTACAGAGTAGTAGGGAAAGGACAGTCTTTCCAATAAATGATGCTGAATCAAACAGTAGTATGGAAAAAAAATACATTTTAACCCCGCCTCACACCACACACCAAAATCAATTCCAGATGGATTACAGACCTCAAGAAGAAAAGTTAAATGAAGAAATTTTAGAGAAAAAAAAGAGATATCTTTGTACCTTTGCAGAAGACAAATATTTCTTTCTCTTTTATTTCTATATATTTATGGAATACAAGTCAAGTTTTTACATGGATATATATATCTGTGTACAAGTGTGAAGTCTGAGCTTTTAGTGTAAAACCTCAGTGTACAGTATACCCATTAAATAATTTCTCATCCCTCAACCCTCATAAAGATTTCTTAAACAACATAAAAGGTGTTAACCATAAAAAGAAAATTAATAAACTGTACCACATTAAAATTAAGCCTCTTTTCATCTAAAGATACTACTGGGAGAATAAAAAAGGTCAATCACAAACTGGGAGATATATGAAGTATATATCTTGACAAAGGATTCATATCCAAAATGTATAAGGAACTCCTATACCTCAATAAACTTTACCAGTTTTGGGGTTATCTTTTGAGACAGGGTCTCAGCTTTATTGACCAGGCCGGAATGCAGTGGCGTAATCATGATCATGGCTCACCACAGCAGTGGGACAAAATTAATCATACTGAAGGAAACATTTTTGTGAAGAGCTTTATCACACACAACTGCCTGTCAGGCATGGTGGCTCACGCCTGTAATCCCAGAGCTTTGGGTGATGGATGTAGGAGGATCACTTGAACCCAAGATTTTGAGACTATCCTGAGTAACACAACAAGACCCCCATCTCTACAAAAATAAAATTAATGGGGCGTGGTAGTATGTGCCCATAGTCCCAGCTACTCAGGAAGTGGAGGCAGGCGGACTGCTTGAACTCAGGACTTTGAGGCTACAACGAGCTATGATCACACCACGGCACTCCAGACTAGGTGACAGGGCAAAATCCTGTCTCACCAAAAAAAAAAAAAGGAGTTAAAAATACTGACATAAATAACTAATGTACAAATTAGAGGTGACTTAAGAGACAAAGGAGATCAGATAAGGGAAAGAATATACTACACCAGGTGTATAACTCAACATGCCTAAGTGTGTGCATAACTGTCTGGAATCAGAGAATACATAATGGAAGGGAGGCATTTGAACGTGAAGACAACATTCTTTAAAAAATAACAAATGTGAAAAAGATTTAAAACATTATAAATTCAAACATACAAAAATGTACATGATACAGGAATAAGTAGTCTTAGCATTTTAGTATGCTAATGCTCCAGACTTTTCTTGAGATATACTTGTTTCTTATTTCTTGAGAAAAATATTGACATATATGCCTGTTTCTTTCTCTTCCCTTCTCCTATCTCCCCTCCCTCCCTCTTCTCTCTTCCTCTTTGTTAAAGAATCTGAGATCAGAAGTTTCCACATTTCTTTTTTTTGTTTTTGAAATGGAGTCTCGTTCCATAACCCACGCTGGAGTGCAGTGGCATGACATTGGCTCACTGCAACCTCTGCCTCCCAGGTTCAAGCGATTCTTCTGCCTCAGCCTCCCGACTAGTTGGGATTACAGGCGCCTGCCACCACGCCTGGCTAATTTTTGTATTTTTAGTAGAGACAACGTTTTGCCATGTTGGCCAGGCTGGTCTCAAACTCCTGACCTCAGGTGATCCACCTGCTTTGGCCTCCCAATGTGCTGGGATTACAGGCATGAGCCACCACGCCTGGCCTGAGTTCCCACATTTCTTACACAGTATGTATACATATACTGTGTATATATTACATGGTTTTAAATTTTAAACAAAACTAGATCTTAAGCATTTTTATAAAATTTAATTTTTAAAAATCAGTCACGTCAGTACACACTTTATTCTTTTGAATGAATGTAATATTCCATACACTGATATAATAGAATGTATTTCTCCATGAAGGACTATCATGAATAATGCTAAGCAAATACACTTGGACATTTGGGTCAGTATTTGTCTAAGACAGCTATTTACAGAGGAAATCACCAGATCAAAAGGAATGCATATTTTAAATTTTGATTATTACTGGCAAATTGTCCTCTAAAAAGGCTCTATCAATTTCTGCTTCCACCAAAGCACATGGGGCATATCATTTTCTACCATACTGGCCAATGCTAGGCAATAGACAACATTAACATATTTTTGCCATGTTGACAGACACAAATAGTATAATATTTTAATTTCATTTATCTGATCACTAGTGAGGCCAACACAGAGTATATGACATCAGAAATCGTAGACAGGGGAGGTAACTATAATTATAGACAGAAGATTGCAGAGAAATGTGAAAGTAAAAGTATATCTTAAGACCAACAAATGATTTAATTCGGTTAAAATACCAGAAAGGTAAAGGCCATGATGAGGTTGTGAAAGGTGAATACCCACTTTTGCCAACTTAAGAGTGCAACTAGACTTTTTCCTACAGTTTATAAAATTACCGTGAGGATTTTTTTAAGGAAAGCAGTGACATTAAAACCATGTTTCAGAAAATTTAGGAGCCATGTGTAAACTTTTACAGAAAAAAACAGCAGGGACATTAACCAGAGGCTAGGATTTGGCCAGAGATGACGAGAACATAAACTAGAGCAAGAGACTTAGGAAAGGAGAAGAGATGCATTAGAAATACATGATTTACAGAGCCAAGATGAAGAAAACTGGTGGGTAACTACATAACAAAGGAGTAATCATATTGATGGTTGAAGAAAAAGCTCTTTACCAACCAACCTGATGACTACATATAATGAATAAAACTGCCAGGAAATGTGCCCAAAAACATATGATGCAAGAAAAACACAATAGATGAATCATCTTAAAAACTCGAATCAAAATAAGAAAACATATTTCTTGGGTACCTGAGAGGTCACTGCTTTCAATTCGCCGGAGATCTGAATCGGCCCAAAAGAGCTTGCCCAGCCTGCTATCAAGGGCTAAAGCAATTGGTTTACTTAAGCCACTGAAAAAGAGGACCTCCCGTTCTGTCCCATCCAAAGCAGCCCGTTCAATTTTAGGAGACCTTTCCTGAAGATTGGTAAAATACATATACCTAGAGGGAAAGGAGGAAAAAATGAGTTACTGGAGTAAGAAAACATAAAACAAGAATATTCTTATTAAGACAAATAGATGTAGAATATTTTTAAATGTTTTAAAATATGTAATTTTGGCCAGGCACAGTGGCTCATGCCTATAATCTCAGCACTTTGGAAGGCCAAGGCAGGGGGATTGCTTAAGCTTATGAGTTAGTGACCAGCCTGGACAACATGGCAAAACCCCATTTCTACAAAAAAATACCACAAAAATTAGCCAGGCGTGGTGGCGTGTGCCTGCAGTCCCAGCTATTCGGAAGGCTGAGGTGGGAGGATCACTTGAACCCAGGAGGCAGAGGTTGCAGTGAGCTGAGATTGTTGTCACTGCACTCTAGCCTGGGTGATAGAGCCAGACCTTGTATTGAAAAATATATAAATATATACAAATACTTATTTATATATATTTATATATTTACATTTTCAAAAGGTCATGGGATACTTTTACTACTTTTAATAGTAGCAACAAAGGTACACAGAAGTTATTAGGAAGCTTTCATAGATTAATAGAATAGTGTTAGACATAGGCATACATATGTTTTCAGAATAACGCAATGAATTAAAGATCAGTGACTAGAGACACCTAAACACAAAAGTTTAAATTCTCTAACTAATCTATTTAATAACTAAAAAGAAGTCATATATAAATAAGTTCTTATATTTAATTTCTAACTTTCATTTTCCTCTAACTCTTTTGAAGTAAGCATTTTCCTTGCTGAATACCTTATCATTCACTCAGATACAACTGAGCACTGAGTATTTATTAAATGCAAAGCTCTGTATTAAATGAATGAAAACATATTAGTCCTCATCATAAAGAAAACATGTCTAGTGGTAAATACAAGACTAAAAAATAATTAAATGTAAGGTAAATTGGAAAGGACTAAGTATAGCTTAGGCATAGATACAGTGTGCTAAGTATTCAGGAGGGGGGAAAAATCACAGCTGTCTGGGATGAGGTAGATCAAAGAAAACTTCCTGGAGGATGTAGCAGTTGAAATGGTCCTGAAGGCATAGGTAAGACTTAGAATTAAACCAATAGTGGCCCAGGAAAGAAAGTCTGGGCAGTGAAATCAGAGAAAGTACAAGAAAATTGTTAAGATAATGCAGAGACAAATGGACAGAGAAGACTGACACTTAAAGGTAAATAAGTAATGGCTGAAAAAGAAGGGTGAGACAGGTCTCAGAAGCCACAGTATCTGAAAGCCACTTTAGTAACATACCCTTTCTCTGGGTTTACCACAATGGCTCGAGGTCTGTCCTGCTCGCCTTTTAGCACCACTCCAATTGATCTCCCATCTAATCTTGTCACATTAATGACATTGGCAGCCTCACAAGTCCAGTAGATATAGCGGCTGTAAATATCAATGCTGAGGTCATAAGGTTGTATGTCCAGGTTCTGACTCGGAACAGAGCTCACAACCACAGTAAAGCCCTAGGGAAGAAAAGAAATACACAGAAAATTAAACTCTAGGGCAGATAACCCTGAGACAATCACTCACAATGCTTATACCTACATGGGCACAGAGCTAAGAAGGCTCTCTCAAGTCTTAAGGAGTATTTCTTACTGATACCTTTTTTTATGGGTAATGTGCTTCTTTGTTAATACACATTTCCAATGTTTCTTGGGTTATCCTGCTGCTGAAAACAGCTAAGATCAGATTAGTTGCTCCAAGAACCTGACAATGCCTTGATTAAGAGATGGGAGTGAGAAGGTAGCAACTCTCTTCTTTAAACTGGAGTCAACTGTGGCTAAAACCATACCCTAGAAATACCTCTAAAGCAGCGGTTTGCAACTAGAGGCAATACTGCCCTGCCATGGTCATTTGGCAATGTTTGAAGACATGTTTTACTGTCACAATTCTGGGAATATAACTGGTATCTAGTGGGCAGAGGCTAGGGATGCTGTTAAACATCCTACAGTATTCAGAGCAGTCCCTCACAACAATTATCCAGCCCAAAATGACCACAGTGCTTAATTTGAGAAACACTGCCCTAGCAATAAAAGCAACTAGTAAAGGTTACAAAATCAAATCCATCATCTCTTTTTCTGATCTTCAACTCTACACATGTAATTTTTTTAAAAAAAATAAAGTCAAGGAAAAAGAGAGGCTTCGTCTATTTGTTCAATCCGAATTATAGCTTACTCAATGGGTATCTCTGAAGTAACATATTCCTTAATGAGGTTATCTAATTTATTTGCCATGTAGTTGGCTGTGTAATAAATTTAATTTCTATCTATTAGTTATCAGCCCATCAGTCCTGGCCTATAAGGTGGAAAGTCCATCTAGAATATACAGCTATGACTATACCCTAAATGATCTCTCAGCAGCTGTAGATATATTACCTCCTTGCTCTTTATTGTAAGATGAGACTTAACGAAAAATGGTACTCTAACTTCCCTAAATTTTAATACATTCAAGATACAACTTACTATCACTGCTATAAGGACAACAAGTAATTATTTATAGTATTGTAATCCCAGTCTAACAGGGCTTAGCCACAGAACGAAAGCAAAGAAGTATAGATAATGGTAGAGAAATCCATAACTGGCATGTAAATGGGCAAGATTTATTAATAATATCCTCATTCCCATTCACCAAATAATTATGACTAACACAACCCATTGGATTAATAACATGTTAGATGTTTTTAATCTTACTGAGACTGTGTTATGTTTCATATCCAAACCTTTTAAATAATAATTAGTAGTGTAACTGTTATTGAATTCCTATTACATAACACATAAGAGCTATGTGCTTTGCATTCTTTCCAGCTAAAAAAAAAGTTCGTAAGAATCCTAGTGAGGAATAGAGCTGGCATCAGAACCAAGGCCTATGTCAAGGCTTCTAATACTCCATACAAATAGAAATGTAAGGAAAAAGACTGCATAAAGAAACGTAGGAGACAGTCACAAAGCCATTACCAATATAACAGCTTAAGTAAGCCTAACAATTTTCATCATATCATCATCAAACAATTGCTTATTCGAAGAAAATATCATCAGAAGGAAAAAAGCTACTGGATCCAGAATTTCAGTTTCATACACACATACTTAAACAGAGTCAAAACAAGTGAAACAGGATGCTTGGTGAGTCCAGTTATTAGTCAGGAGAAATGAATTTTGAACCAAGCTCTCAATTACCTGGCTGCCATCTTCTTGTGCCTTTCGGATCATGTTTTGTCGTGAGTCAATCCAATAGAGTTGCTTGTCCAGTGGGTCATAGTCAATGGCCCGGACATTCCGAAGGCTGTGGATGGGAAGGATGATGTCAGGGCTCTGCTGTTCATCAATCACCATGCGGTTGATGGCACTCTTTTGACTGAAGAGCAGGAAAGTGGTAGGAGCTTAAAAGTAAGAAAAGAGAAAATCTGAAATCTAGTTACTCTACATCCATCCTCTATCATCCAATGATTTGATCAGCCTGTTGTATATATTTCACATAAAACAGACATAGATGTTGAAGACCTAAGGCTGAGGACAGAATTCTTTGGCATGCCCTCAAAAACTCTCTACAGAGTAACACTAATCAGCACTCTGGTTACCAAATCAGTTATGAATTTACCTAATGACACAGCCACCTACCCTATTTTTCTCCATTTTGTCCACAGAGATACCACAGAAAACTTTATTTCCATGAGGCATTTGATAAAAATTTACAAAATTCTCCTGGTCTACCAAGTGAATAACCCTTAACCTATTCTGTCTGGTGGGTGGCAGGAAGCCTGGGCTTGCCTAAGTTAAAGCAGAAACTTACAGACGGATTTTACATGTGACAGGGCAAGACCCATCTCAAGGGAAAAAAAAAGAACGCTGATATTAGTCTCAGCCTTCTCATTTGATCTTAAGTAAGTCGCTGAGCCTCTCTAGGCCAAAGTTTACTCAGCAATAAAATAAAGGTTATAGCCATATTGTCCCTCTCACTGAATTACTATGAGAATTTTACAACATATATGAAAATACTTTAAAAACTGTAAGGCACTATATAAATGTAAATTTTTAATATATTTTTAATCACTTAAAATTTTTATAAAAACTTAATAGAGATGGTGTCTCGCTATGTTGCCCAGGCTGGCCTCAAACTCCTGGGCTCAAGCAATCCTCCCACCTGGGCCTCCCAAACTGCTAGGATTATAGGCAGAGCCACTGCACCCAGCCATAAATTTAAAATAACTATTGTTTATTACCACTAGCAGCAGTAATAAACTTGGTAATAACAGGCATTAAACCCTCACAGATTGCAGATATTATTTTCTTTTGTATGTGATGACAGCATGGAAAGGGAGAAGATAAAAATTACAAAAACGAATAACAGAAGGCTTATGATATAGTTTGACTGTGTCCCCACCCAAATCTCAACTTGAATTGTACTCCCACAATTCCCACATGCTGTGGGACGGACACAGGGGAGGTAACTGAATCATGGGGCTGATCTTTTCCGTGCTATTCTCATGATAGTGAATAAGTCTCACAAGATCTGATGGGTTTATCAGGGGTTTCCACTTTTGCTTCTTTCTCAATTGTCTCTTGCCACTAGGTAAGAAGTGCCTTTTGCCTCCCACCATGATTCTGAGGCATCCCCAGCCATGTGGAACTGTAAGTCCAATTAAACCTCTTTTTCTTCCCAGTTTCAGGTATGTTTTTATCAACAGCATGAAAATAAACGAATACACTTTATATTCATTATTTCTAATCCTCATAAAATCTTTATATTTTCACTAAAGAATATTCTTTGTAGGCCAGGTGCGGTGGCTCACACCTGTAATCCTAGCACTTTGGGAGGCCAAGGTAGGTGGATCACGAACTCAGGAATTCCAGATCAGCCTGGCCAATATGGTGAAATCCCGTCTCTACTAAAAATACAAAAATTAGCCAGGTATGGTGGTGATCAGCTGTAATCCCAGCTACTTGGGAGGCTGAGGCAGGAGAATCACTTGAACCTGGGAGGTGGGGATTGCAGTGAGCTGAGATTGCGCCATTGCACTACAGCTTGGGCAACAGTGCAACACTCCATCTCAAAAACAAAACAAAACAAAATATATTCTGTGTTGATGCCCTAAATTCACAAAATGGGAAAATGCAACAAAGAGCACATTTTCCTTTCTCAGGGACTAGTCCTCTTATTACTATGCAGTCATCTTTAATACTGGAAAACATCTAGAAAAGAATGACTTTTGAGAGACTACCAACAACTTCAAAGTCTAATGCCATTTTTTAAATCTTCATTGAAATATTATTATACATTTCATAATTATACTCTATTTTCTTGGTGCTCAGTCATCACCTAAATCCAGGAGAATTTTGTCCTTCTGAGGAATATTAAACATATATAGACAAGTCAGGACTCCTTGCTTTATTTCCTCCTATTCCCCATTCTTCACAGCTTCATTATTTGTGGTCTCTCAGCTTATTTTAACTTTACACTCAAATGAATACTGGCTTAAATCCCAAAGGAGCTCAGTAGTCACAAAGAAACTTGGTATTTATAAAACTGCAATTCTGATTTATTTAAGTTCTTCATTAGCTAAAAAGCCACACTTAGCTTGGAAGATTTAGAAAGTTATCCCAATGATCCTACTAGAAATTTCCATTATCTGGAGTCCCTTATGTTTATACATTGATTTAACAACTTTTAGCAATTTTTATAGAGTCCATGCTTCAAATAGTAAGAATGCATCAGAGAATAGCTAAAAAGTTTCCCACTATTGTTTTTATTTTAAAAGAATTATATTTTGGCAGTACTACTTTCTTAGTAAATCCAGAAAAAAATTTTTTAAGATTCTAAATTGGCTGGAAGCAGTGGCTCATGCCTATAATACTAGTCCTTTGGGAGGCTGAGGCAGTAGGATCACTTGAGGCCGGGAGTTCAAGACCAGCCTAAACAACATAGCAAGAACCCCTTGTGTTTAAAAGACTTAGAAAAAAGACCCCAGAGTTTTAGTTCCCAAATTTTCTTGCCTGGGAAGCAATTAATCAAATATATATTTGGCTCCTAGTATATTTTGCTGGGTACTCTCTTTTCCAAGTAAAATTTTAACCTTCAATAAGATTCCACAATTAGGTGTACATCTTGTTGTTCTAGAAATGTGGATTAAGATAAAGGCCACATGTGGCTCCAAATAAATGCTTGTTCCAAAAAGTCTACTCAAATATATTAAAAATTATATATTAACTGTTTATTTCTAAGAGCCAGCTAATATTCTGACTTATTTTCAAGTCAGTATGTGCTTAAAATGACAGAGAATAAGCCATTTTAAAAGCCTAAATCCACCCTATCAAATTTATGTAAACTCTAACCACCTCTCCCACATTTCCCTCAGAATGGTGCTTTAATAATAACCTCATGTGGTTGTCTCAGTCCCGCCTTCCCAAAATGAAGACAGCAAAGGACCTGGAGGATGAAATGTATGTATGAGGGAGCTTTTCAATTCTCTTCTGAATGCGTATGTGTTCACCTGTAGTAAGAATAGACTAAACTATAAGGCCAAGCCCATCATGTATGACTGTGCCATTTGTGCAGTGGGCCAGGGGCATCAAGTAGGAACTGAAATCCAGTCCACACTTCCTTAGCCATGTCATGTACCTACAGGGCTAAATCTGCCCAGAGGAAACATCTTTTTCCAGTTTGCACAAAGGTGTCACAGAGGCCACTTCAGTACTGAACAAAGGATTACACAATTTGGCTTCCCATTTCCTCTCTGATCTAATCTCTTCACTTCATTTCAGCAACATTAGCTTCCTAGGTGTTCCTCTAACATGTTGGACATCTTCCCCCAAGACCTTTTTGCATTTACTACCCGCTTTTGCTTGAGAGGTCTTTTCCCTCCACATAGCTCATTTCCTCACTTCCTTCAGTTCTTGACATGTCACTTTTTCAGTAGAACTTCCCTAATCACCTTACTTAACACTGCAGTCCCTACCACTATCACCCTTTCTTGCTCTTTAGATTTCTTCATTATACTTATTGCCACCTAATCCCTGATATAATTTATTCAGTTTGTTATCTGTCCCATTGAATTTCACTCACTGCTATATTTTCCAATGGATGAAGTAATGTCCAGCATGTAATAGGTGTTCAATGCTCATCACACTAATGTATAAAGAAAGAAGCAACAGAGCCTAGTGCAGTGGTATGGGCTCGTAGTTCCAGCAACTAGGGAGACTGACGTAGAAGGACTGCTTGAGCCCAGGAGTTCAAGTCCAACATGGGCAACACAGTAAAACCTGACCTCTTAAAAAGAGGGGAAAAAAAGCCAGAGAGAAGCAATGAGTGACATACACTTGTAGCTATGACTTTTAAAATAAGAGAATAAAATTATTTGAGACAAGAGAAGGAAAAGAAATAAAAACTTATTTAGGACCTCCAATATATTACATATCATACTAAATGTTACTTAATCCACGAAATTATTATCTCTATTTGATAGGTGAATGCACTAAGGATCAGAAAGGTTAGGTTGGCGCGGTGGCTTATGCCTGTAATCCCAGCACTTTGAGAGGCCAACGCAAGTGGATCACCTGAGGTCAGGAGTTTAAGACCAGCCTGACCAACATGGTGAAATCCCCTCTCCACTAAAAATACAAAAGAATTAGCCAGGCACCCTGGTGCACGCTTGTAATCCCAACTACTCAGGAGGTTGAGACAGGAGAATTGCCTGAACCTGGGAGATAGAGGTTGCAGTGAGCCAAGATAGGACCACCTTACTCCAGCCTGGGTGACAGAGTGAGACTCTCAAATAAAAAAAAAAAAAAAAAAAAGAAAGAAAAAAAAAGAAAAAGAAAAAAGAAAGATTAAATAATTTTTCCAAGGTCACAAAGCTGTTGGGTAAAACAGCATATGTGTTTTCCCAGGTCTTGCCTTGCTTCTTCATTCATTTACTTAACAATAATTTCTTGAGTGTCTACCACGTACCAAGTGTTATTCTAACGCATGTTAAGATACATCAATGAAGAAAACAGAAAAAAAATTGTTGCTTCATGGAGTTTATATTCCAACAGACAGACAATAAGCAATAAATATAGTAAAGATGGGAGTTATCTAAATAGTAGAGTGTATAAATTACATAATATATAAAAGGGTGAAAGTGCTATGGGAAAAAGAAAAAGTACACATAAGGGGCACTGGCAATGCTGGATAGGATGGCAGCATAATTTTAGTTTTAAATATTTAAATGTATCTGTTTAATTTTAATTTTAAACAAACCAGGTGTCACTATGATGGAAACAATTAAGCAAAGACTTAGAGGTGAGGGCTACCCATGTAAATATATGCAAGAACACTCCAAGCTGAGGAAACAAGGAGTGTAACAGGCATGAGGTGGGGGTACCTAGCCTATCTAAAACCAGCAATGAGGCCATTGTGGCTGTCATGAAGAAAGCAAGGGAGACAAGAGTAAAAGCTGAGGTTAGAGAAGAAAACTGAGTGGTAGGGCATAAGAGTGAAGAGGGGTTATGAAATGTGGGGTGTAGGTCATTAGGACCCAGCAGGCCATTGTAAGACCTGGGTTTTTATTGTGTGTGAAATGGAGAGCCATTGTAAGGTTTTTAAGCACAGAAACATGATCTGATTTACCTTTTATAACAGGTCAAGGAGTAAATTACACAATGTTAGAAAAATTTTAAGGGCAAGTGTTTTGTGTTAAACTATTAAAATATGTCTTGGGATCGAATACATCTTTATAAATATAAATACTCATTATAAAAAATAAGAAGCCTCTTGAAACACTGCTGATGTATCTCAGAAATGCAGCTAACAGACAAGATATTAGGGACACTCAGCAGTAATTTCTCTAACCAACAAGCACGGGTGTAAGCAGCTAAGACAGTAATCTCAAACAGTCGTTCTGTATTCTTTTACCTCCTTCCTCCATTATTACCTCATTTTCTCCTTCCATTCAAAGCCAACCTTCTCAAAAGAGATATTTATATATGTCACTGTCCTTTCCTTTTTTCCATTCACGTTTTAATCTACGGCATTCTGCATTTCACCATTACTTCCCTGAAATTAGTCTCTTGAGGGTTGCTAATAACCACCTTACCCAAAAAATCCAATGCATACTATTTTAGACCTCCCCTGACTCAACTTCACAGCATTCAATAGAGTTCATTTTTGAAACAACCTTACCTCTGTCTTCCATGCCTCTATTTTCTCCTGCTTTTCCTCTTACCTCTCTGGTTGCTACTGCTCAGTGTTCTTTGTGAACATCCCCTCCTCTACCAGAGTCACACAGTTTACCAACTGCCTTCTTTTCTCTCCATCATGGGGAGTTATGGCCTGATGGGGGTTATGGCCCACAAGTCAAATCTGGCCTGCTGCCTGTTTCTGCAATAAAGTTTTACTAGAATTCAGCCACTTCCATTTTCAAAATGTACTGCCTAAGGCTGCTCTCACATTATCACGGTGAAAGCTGTGCAGAGTTCATCAGGTGTGACAGCCTAAACACCCACAAAGCCTGAGAAAGTTGCTGGCTCTTGAACTGCACCTTCTCTTTAGGTAACCTCATTCATTTTAAATATATCCTGGCAATTCCAAATTTAGTATCTCCAACCACATGTCTCTTCTCTGATTATTGTCCATCATCTATGACACATAATAGAGGTCATCCTTGCTTCCTCCCTTTCTTTCCCACATGGAACTCATTAGTAACTTCTGCTTGCTCCAGCTTCAAAATATATCTTGAATCCATCCACTTCTCTTCATCAACAAACATGCTGCTGCCACCACTATTGTCCAGGTCTACCTGCGTTACCACACTGGTCTAACTGACTTCCCTGATACTGGTTTTTCTGCCCAGAAATTCAGATCATGTATCACCTTTAATCTTCACAACAACTACACATCAGTTACTATTATTATTCCAATTTTACCAATAAGAAACAATTAAGGCTTAAAGAATCTATTAATTTGTGTAAAGCAAAAAGCTAATGTTTGGCAGAGATTCCAAAGTATAACCTCTTAATCATTATTACACTATATGCTTGTGTTCTTTCTCTTTCACAACTGAAGTTGGTATCAGAATAGACCAAATTTTTCCTATGGGATTTCTGACACATTCTCTCAAGGACAAAAGAAAGTCATGTCGATAGTTAATTATTTTGAATATCCTTAGCAGTTTGTTATTTCCACTATATTGATCTATACCCTACCTCTCCCATAATCTACTCTCTCTGATCTAATCTACTTATTTCTTAATCATATCTACCAATTTGTTCTTGTCCATCCACCAAGAAATAGGCCTTCAAACATATATTTAAGTTATAAACCAGGTTTCCCCTAGCCGACAATGTTTTATTACATACTTTGTTGTTAGTGTGTGTGTGTGTACTTGCCAGTATTTAAAAATCAGGAGATGAGGGAGTCACACACAAAAAAATCTAGATTCAGAACTGAATGAAAAGATCTGATAACAGCTTCATTTAAATTGCAACTGCCTACTATGTTCATAGCATGTTCTCTTTAGTTTCCTATCAACTATTACTTTATACTGGGTCACATGCTCTCATACGCATTTTCTGTATGGCCTGTTCAACATTTAAAGTTTTTATGATTGTCCTACTCTATGCACTTCAAAGGACAAGTAAGTTGTGTTTTAGGATTCTCTGTTTTACTGTTTGTACTGCTCTTCCCTTCCTTTATGACGCTTGACACTATGCAAATTTTACACTTAACATTTAACATCCAAGTTGTAAAAGACTTAATTTTTCCTTTTTTTAATGAAAGAGTCTCGCTATGTCACCCAGGCTGGAGTGTAGTGATGTGATCACGGCTCACTGCAGCCTCAATCTCCTGGGACCAAGTGATGCTCTCACCTCACCCTCCTGAGCAGGTGAGACTGCAGGTGTGCACCACCACCTTGGCTAATTTATTTTTTGTAGAGACAGGTCTTGCTATATTGCCTAGGCTGGTCTTGAACTCCTGAGCTTATGCAACCCTCCCACCTTAACCTCCCAAAGTTTTGGGATTATGGACATAAGACAATGTACCAGCCTAAGACTTAATTTTTCTATAACGTCAAATTGCTATCATCAAACAAGTAGTAAGTAACAAAAACTTGCATTCCCCTATCACTTAACTAAACAAATAACCCCTTCTGGATTTCCAAAATGTTTTACTTTAGAAAGAACATACACTAAAGTACTTTGAAAATGTTGCTTTCTTTAATTCTAGCTTGCTTTGGAGGGAAATGCAGCTTACCACTACAAGTCTTGTTGTCAGCATTAAGAGAGTAGTGGGCAGGGCATCCACATACAAAACCCCCAACTGGCACAGCCAAGCAGAGGTGGGAGCAGTGCCCATTGCTGGAAGCACATTCATTCCACCCTGACTGCCGAGAGGAGTGAAAGACGAGGATGTCCATCACATAATCCAAATGGCCCTGAATGATGGTGCGGTTTTGGCCACTGGTTTTGTTGGCACGCTCAATGCTGCGTCGGCTCCAGTCTGTCCAGTAGATATAATCTTGGTACTGAGTTAAGCCAAAAGGATGAGGCAAGTCATCTGCTATAACTTCACGGTTAAGTCCTATTTTCGGAAAGGCAGTAGACAGGGAGAAGCAGTGTGATGAAACGTGAGAATACAAGTGTCTTGTTGGCAAAAAAAAAAAAAAAAAAAAAAAAATCTAACATAAAACATGTTTGTAAGCAATTTAAAATAGAATAATGCATTTAAAAGCAATTCTAAAAACAAACCAGTTCTCTGAAATCAATCCATGTACAGTCTGACCCCATGCTTCAAACTGATATTTCTGCTATGAATCACTAGGTTTCCTAAAATTCTTGCAAGTGGTCTACTTTAAATGTGATTTTATTTTCTCTGTGTAAGGGTCTATAGTTCATTTTTCCTTCTTGAATTATAGGGAAAAAGATGAAAATATACATATTTTACTGGTACAAAAAGTCCTTTCAGGGGTATCCAGGGAGTTAAAAATTTCATTACAAGCCCGATAATAATGAAACTTTCACATAATAAAGAGATGAATCCAAGTACCTGGATCACTATTAATAATAACAAACAGAATACAATTCCAAAACAGAATAAGAATGGACACATTCATATGAAGTTGTATTCAAAGTATCTAACCAATGATAAACAGCAGCCAAAAATTTTTACATGGAAAGAATATACTGTCTGTCTGAGTAAATAGTAGTAAAGCTTACCAAGCATATTTGAAGATTCTATTAAGTTGGTGTCCAGGTCTGTCCAATAAAGCCTCCTTTTAGCATAATCAATAGTCAGGCCATTTGCCCGCCCCACATTTGGAACTAAGGTAGTACGTTCACTTCCATCCATTGCAGCTCTGTCTATCTTAGGTTTTCCACCCCATTCAGTCCAATACATAAATCTAAATTCAAAACAATAGATATTTAACATTTCATTTTTTTTATTATCTGGGGGAAAGGTCATATTCATGCATAGTAACTAAATAAATTTAAAGAAAACATATGGCAAATCAAGGAAATGGGTAAAACAAAATCATGGCTACAATGCTTTCAATTATTTTGGCACCCTAAACTAAGTATTCTTTTCCATATCCCAAAAAGGAAGTGAGTCAGCTTTCCTTGGTCTTTCCAATAAATTTGTTCCATCCAAACTTAGGAACTGGAAATAAACCAACAGTTTATTGCAGCACTGGCATTTATAAAACTAATATTCAAAAAAACAGCAAAAGTTTAAAGCTCCCTCTGGTCTCAGAGTCTTGTTCACTTCTGAGTAAAATATTTTTATGTATTTCTGAATATTAAGTAATTTGAGTTTTCAATATGCTGAACTTACTTTTTGACTTGTATAATCAACTATTCCTCAAAATAAGCTGCAGAAGTACATAAAAGGTACGTATAAATACTAAGTCTTTAACTGAAGTCAAAAGCAAAGCTCGAAAATGTATTTGGTTATACTGTCCAAGGGAGCATACTATATGGTAAGAACAACAAATCATCGCCTGATGTGTCCACTACCACTATAATCTCTGAAATTTTAGAATAATTATTTTGCTTTTATTTTCCTTGAGTTTTGTACTTTAATCTTACAGCAATCCTACAGTACAGGATTTTTTATAGATGAAGAGGCCAAAACAGTACAGGCTTTTTTCATAGATGAAGAGGCCAAAACACTACAAGAAATGTGAACGATTTATCTAATGTCTTCAAGCCAGTTACATGACAGAGCTAGAACTAGAACCTAATCCTTGGCCAAACGCCCTTTCAAGTATGAGGTGCTAGTTTTTGAGACTCTTGAATACTGGAACTAAAAAAGCACTTCACGTGCCAGCTCTCACGAAATACCTGAGGACAGACATTCACTCATCAGCCTGTCAGCTGATGGCTGACTTGGTAACAATGTATGAACATGCTTTTCTGAAAACTGAAGGTATCCTGGCTTTATATCCATTTCCACTTGTTAGCTGACAGGCATGTGCATACCACAAAAGCCAAAGAGAAACAACCGTGAGAAAATTTCATACTTGCCAGCACCAACCAATACTAGAGTCTTTAGTCCTAACTATTAGATTTATCTGTCTGGCAGCTAATGTTAGAGCAAAAATCACCACAATCTATGTCAGTGCAGAAAAGCTGTCTTTGATAACGGCCTTCTAACTAGATGAATTACTAGCTAATAATGGAATCAATGTGATTTCAGGGAAACTATTTTAAATTACAAATATAGTAAACGTATTTATACATATACACTGTTGACTTTTTTTTTTAAGGTGGAGTCTTGCTCTGTCGCCCAGGCTGCAGGGCAGTGGCATGATCTCGGCTCACTGCAACCTCTGCCTCCTGGGTTCAAGCAATTCTCCTGCCTCAGACTCCCAAGTAGCTGGGGCTACAGGCACATGCCACCATACCTGGCTAATTTTTTTGTATTTTTTGTAGATACGGGGTTTCTTCGTGTTGGCCAGGCTGGTCTCAAACTCCTGACCTTGTGATCCACCTGCCTTGGCCTCCCAAAGTGCTGGTATGAGCCACCACGCCCGGCCTGTTGACTTCTTTTAAAAGTAGAATGTTTCTTCGAATTTCAGATTTCTTAACTGCTGGCTTTAAAAAATTTGCTGACTCTTGTAAGAAGGAACACCCACCCTTGGAAAACGTCATGCTGTAAACAGTTTAGTCTATCTTGTAATACCAAAGCTACTGCCAGTTTATAATATGATCAAACTAAACTATTCATCTTGAATTAATAAACACTCCAAAATAAAGCTTTTTAAATGTAGTTTTTTCTTAGCTCATAATATTTGTTTCCGCGGGTTTACTTCAATAGGTTTGGAATCTAGCATAACTGGGAAAAAGTGCAAGCAACTATAGATGGATAATACCTGTTGGTATATATAACGAACATATCAATATATTCGTCAGCTACATGTGATTATTAATCCATTCCCCTCTTTCTTCATCTAAAGTTAATTATGACAAAAGTAAAATTAGCTACTAATTATTTATTCAAATCAGCAAAATCTCAATTAATGATTTTTTTTAAAGTTCATCTATCATTTAGTTGTCAGATTCCTAATAAGTATTAAGACACTAAGATATCATCTATAACTATGCCATGTTCCCCAAAATGTACACTGTAGTTGCAAAGAATGCACACGTAAAGCTGTTTACCCTTCAGCAGGGTCCAATGCTAGAGCTCTGGGACTATCTAGGTCTTTCCACACCAAAACTTGTCGGTGCTGCCCATCCAACTTTGACACCTCAATTCGATTTGTTCCTGTGTCTGCCCAGTACAAGTTCTTCCCAAGCCAGTCTACTGCCATGCCTTCTGGATAATCCAAGCCGAATTCTACCACGTGTTCCAGAGCACTGCCATTCATAAAGGCTCTGCTGATGGTCTGCAAAATACAATGAACAACTAAGTCATACGGGGTAAGTTTAAACTCTATCCAGAAAGAAGGTTTAGTTTGGTTTTTGTCAGGGGCAAGAGGATCCAGAAGGGCCAAGAGTCATTGTATTTCCTAATAAAATTCACATAACTTGAAAGTACAAAAAAATCTGATGTCAATCTCTAAGAAATGCAACTTCAAGTTTTATTGCCAATTCAGGGGAAATTTTTATAATACTAAAGAATCAAAAAATTTGGTTCTAATAGCAGAATCACTTTTAAAATTTATCAGTAATCAAGTGGAAAGCTGTGACCACAATGCTACAGATCCTACCTACTAGTCAATTTTCTAAAGGTGCTTAAGATATGCCAATTCATAATCCCTACCATATAAAATGAATGTAACTGTTATCATACTACCACTATAGCTCTGAATCCCATAAAATTTTAAAAAATAATATTTGAAACTAATCATAGATACTACATCTTATAAAGTACTATCCTAAGTACTTTGTGTCCATAGATTTTCTCATTTAATACAATAGTCCTGCAAGTATGGCATTACCCCTATTTTTTTTTTTTTTTTTTTTTTTTTTTTGAGATGGAGTCTCACTCTGTCACACAGGCTAGACTGCAGTGTCATGATCTTGGTTCACTGTAACCTCCACCTTCCAGGTTCAAGTGATCCTTGTGCCTCAGTCTCCTGAGTAGCTGGGATTACAGGTGTGCACCACCACACCCAGCTAATTTTTGCATTTTTAGTAGAGACAGGATTTCGTCATGTTGGCGAGGCTCGTCTCAAACTCCTGACCTCAGGTGATCCTCCTGCCTCAGCCTACCAAAGTGCTGGGATTACAGGTATAAGCCAACTCCCTGGCCACCCCCCTATTTTCAAGATGAGGAAATTTAGAAGATCACCTGATGCAAACCAAGATTGATTTCATTTATTCATTTAATAAATTTAACTGAACACCATTAGAATCCAACTCTGACTCCAAAACCCCACACAAGTTATCTGAAACAAAACCTAAACAATCTGGAAGAAGAAAAGATTATTCTTCAGATTTATAGGTCTAGAGCTTCCTCTCTCTGACCATCCTGGTATTCTTTTCAGTAACTATTCTAGGAAGAAGAAAATAAAGAACAACTCATTATAGGCCTTTTCCGCCTCAGTCAGGCCCTAAAACTTTGTTTAAAGTAAATCAAGACTTTTTGTTTAAAGTAAATCAATAGCCATTTTATGTGAATAACACATTTTCTTACTCAGCTACTTGAAGAAAATGTCATTCAACATTTTCAAATGGAAGAAAGTAGAGGAAGACTATGGCTTGCGGTTTAACAAACTCTGGCAAAGTATCTTGTATTAAAAAGCATCTAATAAAATACTGAATGGGCCTTTCCCTTCACTTAAAAACTTAAGGGTTTTGGCCTGGGCATGGTGGCTCACGCCTGTAAACCCAGTACTTTGGGAGGCCAAGGTAGGTGGATTACAAGGTCAGGAGTTCGAGACAAGCCTGGCCAGTATGGTGAAACTCTGTCTCTACTAAAAATACAAAAATTAGCTGAGCATGGTGGCACATGCCTGCTAGTCCTAGCTACATAGGAAGCTAAGGCAGGAGAATCACTTGAACCTGGGAAGCAGAGGTTGCAGTGTGCCGATATCATGCCACTGTACTCCGGCCTGGGCAACAGAGCAAGACTCCATCTCAAAAAAAAAATTAACAAACAAAACACACACACAAACACACACACACACACACACACACACACACACACACACACACACACCCCTTTAAAGGTTTTTGGTGAACTCTGCCTGTCAAGCAATGAGGGAAGCAGATCATGGCATGAAGATTCAGAAATTCTAGAAGTTCTCCCTTTTGGTCCCTAGATTTAATATTACAATTCTTTTGCTAACCTTGAGTGATATATCAGTCCAGTAAATTCGGTTGTCTGTCACATCAAAATCCAAAGCAGAAGCTTCCTTGACACCAGTGAGTGGAATAGCCACATTATTATTGTTTGTTTCCAAAGAAATTCGTCTGATATCTGCTCTCCGTGAAAACAAAAGGAAAGCCTCTGGGACAATGCAGGTCTTCATGTCACTGATGAGTTCAAAGCCAATAGGGCAAGCACAGCGAAGGCCCTGAGGTCTATAGAGGCAGAGATGACTACATCCCCCGTTTTCCTCCGCGCAGGGGTTGGAACCTAAAAGATTAATTATAAAAGGGCATAGAAGAACACACACATTGACACATTCAACATATTTTCACTTTTAAATTACTGAGTGTACAGTTCACAAATGCCTATGATTATGTCTGCTCCCAATCTCAAGTTTCAATTCTAATGTCACAAACAAGCAATATACAGATTAACAGGGAGTAAAAGCATGGTGGAATATTTTCCTTTTATATCCATAGCAAGCTTTAAAATAAGGTACATTATTCATACAATTGGACTGAATTCTTTTGATGAAGGTATGCATGTGCCTGTGCATGTGGACTGAGCCCTTCAATTCAAACTAGGTAACCAGAGTAGTAAATCAACATTTAAAAGGTCTCTTCTCAGTTCAAAAGAAAAAAAAAAAAGGAGGGGAGTTTCTAAATTGCCACAAAACATCAATAATTTACACTGCTGACTATCTCCATCTTTTTCCAACCCTGGTTTCCATTACAAAGAAAGTTTTGGAATTACTTACCAATCACTCGATGAACATTTGTGGCCTTTAGGCCCATGAGGTCAGGCAGCTGATCTATGATAACTTCCCTCTCTGCACTTCGTTTATGTACTCTTTCAATGCTACGCCTCTGCCAGTCAGTCCAGTAAACGTAGTCACCCAATAAAGTAAATCCAAATATGTGAGGAATTTTGTCTTCCACTAATACTCGTCTCCCAGTGCCATCAGTATTTATAACCTTCAGGTTTAAATTCAAAAGAGAAGAGGATGAAGTATATATTTATTCTTCATGTAAAAATGACAAATCCCACTACCTGTTGCATAAAAATCCAAGAGTTATCTTTGTATTCCTATTACAATGCTTTCTCAAAATTACAACACGATGATTTCATAAAAATGATTTCAAATATTCCGTATGAGCCTCTATATTTGACCACTTCCCTCCCGCCCCCTCAAATTTCATATTTCTCTTCCTTCCAAAAATTCTGGCGCCTTTAGATTATGCAACTCTTCTATTAAATAACTGTGGCAAAATTAAAAATACAGTATCATCACCTTAAGTTTGCACGTTTTCAAACTATAATAGTACCTTCACATACATTATTTTATCATATATTTTGTTTTATAACATATTTTATTTTATCCTGAGAGCTTGGCCTATGGAAACTGAGATTTATGTAAGGACACACAGCTTATAAACAGAGTTGATGTCTTTTTCAGGACTCTTTTCACTTAGCATGCTTTTTATTTTGCTGTTGTCAGTAATAGCAAAAAACAGATAAAAGGGATCTTAATAAATCTCTCACTCCAGAGATTACAATCACAAAAGTATGTGGATTATATGACACCCTCTCTGCATCTAAAGAGGATGCACATTCTCTTTCCAACTACTTCATATTGGTAGTTGGACATTATTAAATTCACTCTGGCATTCATATTGCATTCACAGTGCATTCACCACACACTATTCAGTGTTGACTTACTTGGAATACCTTTAGTGGCATAATATAACTAATATTTGCATATAAGATTATATCTGATACCTTTTGGGGATGGGTAGGAGCAGATACCGTTCACACGTACATGTTTTTAGTAGGAAATAACATTTCTAAAGGTTAATTTGCCTAGCACACAGGCCACTTTAAGTGGCAGAAATGGTCGCAGGTGAGGATTTGAACAGTGGGACTTTGGAAGCCTTGCTCCATATTTCAGAACAGAAGAAGGTCTTCTCAGTATCTATTGCAGCATTTCCAACTGCATCTCCAGGAACATGTACTGCTACCTAATTTAAAATGTCATATACTTAACAGCGAACCTATATTCTCCTAAAGCGGGCAGTTCAATCATCCTATCCAACACAGAGTGATACACATTCTGTATTATACAACACTAAAATATTACTTTCTTACAAGTTTGTGGTATGTTAAAATATGCCTGATTTGGTTTTATTCTTAGTTTTAGTTCTATCCTCTTTTGCATTATCTTACATTTAATAAATTACACTAATTTTGCTGATCCCTACATTCAAATGTTGGCTTTCCTATTAAAATTTGCTGATGTAAAAGTATAAACTAGATGCCCAAAATTAAACTTTTAAAGAATAACACTTACATTTCTACTTCAAAACTATTACAGAATCAACTAAGAAAATCTTTCAGCTATATCACTCTACAACATTTTTGTTTATTTTGATAAATAGTTTAAACAAAAGATGGATTAAAGATGAATTAGAAAAATTGGGGGGGGGGATGGTGGCTCATGCCTATAATCCCAGCACTTTGGAAGGCCAAGGTAGGAGGATTACTTGAGCCCAGGAGTTCAAGACCAGACTGCACAAAATGGCAAGGTCCTGTCTCTACAGAAAATACAAAAAAATTAGGCATGGTTGGATGAGTCTGTAGTCCTAGCTAGTCGGAGGCTAAGGTAGGTAGATTGCTTGAGTCTGGAAGTTTGAGACTGCAGTGAGCTATATGATCAAGTCACTGCACTCCAGCCTAGGTAAACTCCAGCACAGGCAAACAATTTTTAAAAAGAAAGAAAAAGAAGAATGCAATTAAAAATCACTGTGAGAAAAATAACTGCCACAATTCCAAGATCTTTTTAGCTCACATAATTCTGCATCTTCTATTTAGCAGTTTCCCTTCATTCTTCTGTTCTCTAAAAATCTCTCATGATCATTAAATATACTGTGGCACAAATAGATCTGTATATCAAATATAAGGTTTATTACTCAGTGGGTACCCTTAAGTAAGCTCTCGCAAATAAAATAGGGACAGAGCCACTGCCACCACTGAATTAATGAAGGATCAAATAAAATAATGCTAAATATACAGCACCGTATTAGATATATAATAGTTGCACTATCTGGTAAACACGGGTTCCTGCCTTTTAAAATCATTTTATTAAAATGCTTTAGGTTCTAAATGTAAACAGCTAAATGATCCTATTTAATTATTTAATGCAGTGCTTCAAAATAAAAATACATAAATATAAAAGAATACATGGAAATAAAAGACCAAACTACTACTCACTATTAAACTGAAGATAAAAACCAAGAGACATTTATATATCCTGAAATTATGAGAAACTACACAGCTACAGCCTCCTGTTTCTTACTCCTATTTTCATTGTTTACTTTTGCTAGTCAGATATAAAGTAACTAAAACAGTCAACAGAAAAAAGCAAATATTTGACAGTTTCACAGGAGTACACTTTTGCTGCCCTACCAGACCCCTAATCCACTTCCCCGCAAATCAAACATTAGTAAAGACATCTAGTAAATGCAAACCACCATGACAGACATGACGAACACTGACAGGTTTAGAACAGGGCCTCTTCCAGCTAAGGTATTACCATCTAATTGGAGAGGTAAATGATATTTACATTAAAATCACACACATATAACCTCTCTGGTCTGAAAGTAATCAGGAAAAACTTGAGGAAATAGGAGTTGAAATTAATCTTGAAGAATTAGAATTTTGACAAAGAGAAAGAGAAAAGGATTTTCCAGAATAAAAGAAATGATATGAGTTCAGGGATAGCAAAGCCAAGGATACACATAACGTGTTTGACTTTGACAGAAATGCCTTGACTGAGGCAGAAGGAACACAAGGGGGACTCAAAGGATACAGCATCAAGCAGATACCACCCTATGGCAGGTATTAAATTCCAAGATAAGGAGAATTACAGAAAACAAGAAGCTTCTGAAAGCACTTTAAGAAGAGTGACACAATAAACATGTATTTCAGAAACATTTCATTTACCTCTGTCACTCTGTTTAGGTTGTGTGAAACATAAATATTTTAAATGTAGAATTATGAAATAAATATAGAATTATGGTTAGCAAAATATTTTCAATTTCTTTGAGATGGCAAGAGAGGTCCGAAATCCCTTATCTGGAAGTCAGCATCAGTTCTATTCCTGAATTCAGACTGTGGTTTGTTTTTGTTTTTCAAGAAAGGTTAACACAATGCACATAGTATACCACCTCTACTTGAGTCCAGGGCAGCACTTTATTGCCAAACATGTTAATATTTCTGCCATAAAAGATGACCAGGCACGGTGCCTCGTATATGTAATCTCAGCACTCTGGGAGACTGAGGTGGGCAGATTACCTGAGGTTAGGAGTTCGAGACCAGCCTGACAAACATGGTGAAACCCCATCTCTACTACAAAAACAAAAATTAGCCGGACATAGTAGCTAATGCCTGTAATCCCAGCAGCTGCTCAGGAGGCTGAAGCAAGAGAATTGCTTGAACCTGGGAGGCAGTGGTTGCAGTGAGCCAAGATCACACCACTGCACTCCAGCCTGGGCGAAAAGAGCAAAATTCTATCTCAGGAAATAAATTAATTAATTAAAAAAATAAAAGTATGCCTGCAGTGTGGGATAATGACTACAAACAGTCTCACACTGGTTCAGGTCAGGATTTTCACCCAATGAATTAACAAAAGCAGCATTTGGTTTTCAGAGCTCTTTGGATTTCAGGATTACAGAAAAAAGATTACAGACCAGAAATGCTTTGCTCATCTTCTCTTCAGTCCCTTGACAAAACTGGAGTTTGGATCAGTGTTAATGCTGCTCTAGATACAAACAAGGGTCTCAGGAAGAAGTGACCAAAGGAAACACTGAAAAGAAAAAGGTCTTCAAAAACATTTGCTGAAACGACAACAAATGAAGACTGTGATGAAAGTATAAGAAGGTCAATGAAGGTATTAACAATGAAGGTATTAAGAACAGCATAGTGGGCCATGCGCCGTGGCTTACACCTGTAATCCCAGCACTTTGGGAGGCCGAGGTGTGGAGATCGCCTGAGGTTAGGAGTTCAAGACCAGCCTGGCCAACATGGTAAAAACACCGTCTCCACTAAAACTACAAAAATTAGCTGGGAGTGGTGGCACATACTTGTAGTCCCAGCTACCTGGGAGGCTGAGGCAGGAGAATCGCTTGAATCCTGAAAGGCAGAGGTTGCAGTGAGCCGAGACAGCACCACTGTATACCAGCCTGGACAACAGAATGAGACTCCATCTCATAAAACAAACAAACAAACAACAACAACAAAAAAGAATGGTACAGTGGCGAGGAACTCCAAATAGTTCCTGAGAAGCCACAACTAATGATTTGGTTACCTGTACCCAATTGGGCACTAATCCCTTCTAACCATTCCTTGTTCTCTCACTCTAAAAGCAAAAACTAAAAGACCTTTTTTTTTGATAATGAAGTAAACACAAAAGCAAGATCTATCAATTCATGTCTATTTCAAATTAAGCAATGTAATTAAGATTTATTAAAGACTTTTTTTAAACCTCATTTTGTAAGCACACAGTTTCCTTTAATTCCCGATCTCCTTTTTCTCATCTGTGGAAGTTTTTACAATAGATTTGGATCTAAAACAGCGCTGTCCAGGAGAAGAATAACACAAGCCACAAATGTATGTCGTATGTGTCCATTTAAAATTTTCTAGTAGTCATACTAAAAAATACAAAACACGCCAGGCGTGGTGGTTCACACCCAGCTAGTCAGGAGGTTGAAGCAGGAGTATCACTTGAACCTGGGAGGTGGAGGTTGCAGCAACCTGACACTGCACCACTGCACTCCAGTCTGGGTAAAAGGGTGAGACTCCATCTCAAAAACAGTACAGAACAGTAGACAGAATTTTAATATACTTTATTTAATCTAAGACATCCAAAATTATTCTATCTCAACATGCAATCAATATTAACAATTTTATTAATGGCATC